AAATCGCACCAGATACAAGTCTTTCTAAAATGTCTTCAAAAAAATATTTAATACAGTTTTAAAAGTACGACAATTTTATTTTATATGCCCAATATATAAAGGAATGTGTTAGAACTAGTAACGTTACCAAAAATAATATTGTTTTTTTTTAAATGGAGATATTCGAAAAAGTGGTGCGATATCGGCAACCTTACCCTATTGTTCCCACTGGGTTGATGTTGGGTCAAACGTTGCATTTATGGTGCCACCGGAAGTAGTTTGTGCTGAGAGGGCTACAGTCAAGAGCACAGAGAGATAAAACTGAATAAAACAATGGCTGCAAGAATAACAAAATACTTTGCAGTTTATCAAAGTCACAAAATCTCTATTCGTAACAATAAGGTCCATTCTTGCAATTGCTACTTGAGTTAATGATTTTGTGACGTCGTCGATAATAAAAATTTTCTATTGTAAATAAACTTCTTATGATATTTTAAAAAATAAATACAGCCACACTAGTTGCTGAAAGTATTAAAAGTCTCTTGTCTTTTATTAAGAGTCTTTTGTCTTCAATAAAGCCCAGGCTACAATTCATTATATATACTTACATATTTCGAATACTTGAATTTAGAAATCCATGTGTTCTTTCCTGATGCTGGCAAGTGCCCATTTTAAGTTTTTTGGGGTGACGACTTTAGACGCAAATCACCATATCTCCAGAACCTCAGCTTAGCAGACGGGTCCTTAGTGAGGACCTTCTGAAGTCCATCTTTCCACAGAAGTTCTTCCATATATCTGTTTTTCTGCGTCAAATTGTAGATTAGAATTCTTGTTGAGTTCTGTTATAGAGCTCCCAAGAATTGGATGAGTGGAAAAGTCGGACTTCATTTGGCAGCCTCAAGACTCTTTTCGAGAAAGCGTTCTTTCAGAAGACCTAGTTTGGACTTGGATCTCTATGTTCGCATCGTTTTAATTTATTTTTACATCAGTTTAGTGACATAAAACTCTGTTCATCTCTACAATATAGAAACCTATAAATTCAAGCCCAATGAATTTTTCCTATCCATACTTTCCAAAAATTCAGTCACTATATATTTTACTGTTATTTAATTCTAACAAATTTGATGATTAAGAGTTCAGAAATTTATTTTTTGAATGTTATGAAAAAGTAAAAAATGGCTCTTGTTTAATTTTGGTAACACGGTTGCACACTAATTAGAAAACAAATCTCTTGTGTCTAACTTAAACCACTCAGAACGATTTGTTTGCTTAGGATGAGAATTGTGTTTTACTGAGTTCAAATTTTTCAAGTTTCCAAAAATTCCATATGAGCTTTTTATACTAAAATTTTTTAATATGTACAGGGCTCCATTTGTACGGACGCGACTTACTCGAGTCTTTCGTTTGCTTCTTTTTTTTGTTATCTTCAGTACGAAGTACAACTTATGGACGTCGTTCCTTATGCTATCTCGCTGAAAATTTTTATGTACAATGGAATGCCTGATTGTGTTTACAACAAGTGTGTTCCCTGTGATATTATAAATTTCTACTTTTATATTTTTTTCATAAATCACCATCTGTGGCCAAAAATATTTTGCATTATGTACACTTTGATGACGTAACAGGCTTTTATTTTGTTCGTCTTTTCGAGCTAAGGCGAATGAGGTTATTTATTTTAGGGGATGTTAGAACTATTATTGCTATTATTTTTTGTTTTCATAAATTTGAATGGTGAACTTCGCCGTTTCTTCTAAGTTTCATAGGTTCGTGTATACCTACGTTCCCATTTCCCTCACTATGTGGTCTTTCTTCTTACTTTTAGCGACTGTATTAAACAGATAATCTCTGAAATTACTGAACTGATTATTGTGAAGTTTTACAGATATTTTGAAAATATCGTACAAATGCTAAACCTTTAACTAAAATTCCTACCTGCCTAAATTTGGTGACGTTATTTTATTTTGTCCTCTAACATCCTGATAAAATTTGTACGACTAAATTTGGCTTTATTTGATAACAACAAAAAATACAGTTTAATATAATTTGTAGACACTAGTATTTATTCAGAATTCGGGCATATATTAGTTTTAAAGTATAATTTGTTAGCAGACTTCAGTTGTAGTCATAATATTAGTTTCGTTACGTTAATAACAACAAAAATACTTATTTAGTTTGTTGTATCAGTTTTGATATATTGTGCTAATGATATTTCTATGATATGATTTTTCGTTTTGATTTTTCATGGTGATGTCGACTTTTGATAGTGACTATCCAAAATTTTGTATAATTGTTGTGGTGGAAGTTATTTCTTTATTATCACTTGAGAGATAAAAATTTCAAATTAGCTGACAGGTTCTAGTGGTGACAAGAATCTATAATTTTTTGACGGGTCCTTTAATCCTATTATTATGTGCATGCCGCAGTATAAGTCAATTGCTCATAATGCGTCAACACTTTATCGTAATTGTAAAATAGCTCAGTCAGTGTTAAAAATATCTGCTTGTTTCTGTTTATCAATAGGCAACTGTTATAAAAATAAAACAATTTTATATTCCTTGTAAACGAAAAAAAAAAGCGGCATATTGTCAGAATCTTCAAATATTAGAAATCATTATATTAGGACAGTATAACAAAATCATTTATAAAATAAGAACGAACATATATATTAAGAGTATATACTAAGGTATAACTATAGATTTTGGAAAATAATCGATGGGGGAACTGAGTGTTCGATATTTTTTGGACGCACTATATATTAATATATATTTTTGTCTGTTACTTCTATTCATTTGGTATTCATAAAATTTAAGTAGATAAGATATCTATTTATCTCGATAACCATATAACAACTTAGATCAGTAAAAAAGTGTGGAAATATGGTGTAAAATTCCACGTCGTTTCGTCATCAGCACTTACATAAACGGCTATTGCTTGTAATTCGTCATATTACTTCGAAAAAATAATTTTAAAAATGCGTCAGAAGCGGAAAACAACAATAAAGAAAATGAAGCAATAAACATACTATAGGTGTTTAGTTGTTGTGTTTATTTTAGCAATACATTTTACAAGGAAGTGTAATTGAAAACGACCATCTTATGTAGATACAATTCATTTAACATGCAGATATCTCGATGGAAGGATTACTGGGCAGAATACAAAACATTCATTAATCAGTAACGAATGACCTATCAATGTCATGTTCAAGTGCGTCATAATGCTAAAACAAATCAGTGAACTTAGTTGATTTTTATAATGGGCAGTGATATTTTTGACAAAAAATGGTCAAAGAAGTATAAGAAATTTCAAAGCTTTTGTTGTTTCAAACCAAGAAACCTTGACCCTATACTCAATACTCTCGAAAGTTTGTTAATAAAATCTACGAGTGTCACTTTTTTTTCGTTTAAGACCATCTTCAGACCTGGCCTTCTAAGCCTACGTATATGCGCTTCGCCGCTTAATAATATTTATAAAATTTTATTTTCAAAAACTAGGTGCTATATTTTTCAAGAGGTGGTGTTTTACGTAAAGTCAACTTAAGGTTGCAAGATATATACTGTTTTTTAAGAATTACAGAGATGTAGCTAATTATTTTATCAGACTACGTTAAAATGACGTTTTCAATTTTGATAACTTTATGAAAAAATTCGGAGTGTCATAATCATAAGGGTATAATAAACACGTTCAATACACTACCGTGAAAGTTTTTTATAATTTTTTTAAGTTGAATACCTAGGTATCAGATTATAACAAAAAAAAACGCAATCTGTTGTAGTACCACAAGTAGTTAAAACTCAAAAAAATCTGGAGCATATTAGTTTAAAACTCTTTTTAGATAATAATTTTTGGTTATTAAGATACGTTATCTTTTTATAAGTATAAAAATATATTTGCGTAATATTTTTTTAAAAAATGCAATATTGGATATTTTAAAGCTTAATCTGCAACTACTGTTTTATGATTTAAGTGTAGTAGACTTCATAAACGTATTAAAATAGAAGATTAATTGCGTGACGTTTACAGAGTGAACCGCGAAGTTAATATTATTTACCTTATTAACAAAAAAAAAATACAGTTATTACTAACATTTAAATTGAAAATATAAATTAGATAAGTCGTTATTTTGACCTTAATTCTATTTCATTTACTAATTGCAGTGTTAAATGGTTAAAGTAGGAGACGTAGTGCTTGCTTGTATATTCTTCTGAGCAGATATATAGATTTGTAGATATGAAACATTTTTGTTTGTAATCAACACCGAAATGTGTCCCTAATAATTCGTAACCAAACTTTCATGAACATTGGTGGTAATTTCAATTTTTTTTACAAATTAAAAGACGCCAATTAATATTAGTGTGTTGGCTTTATAAGCTTTATTGAAAATACAACGCATACAAATTTTGAGACAGTTTCAAAAAAGCATATATTTTTTTTCAAATTATATACTTATTTATACTTATTTTAAATCATCATCATCTAATCGTTATGGATTCATGATGTTAAAAGAAAAAATGTTTAGAGAATAACCAAGGAAATAATCGTATTTTACATCATTTCTTGACTTTAAAATTACAGAATTAGTGTGTTGTTCTTCAGTTAAAAACATTTTTGAAAGTGCAGTTCCCCAATGAGTCACGTTTCTGCCCTTCCGAGTATAATTTTTGTAGCTGATTTTTATAGACAGTTTTTTACTTTTTGAATATTTTTTTAATTTCATCTAGTGAAATTAAAAAAAAAAAAAACTATAAACTAGATTCTGTTGTACTAACTTTGTAGCTGATAATAATTTGTGCAGAAATACACCTCCATACGAAACTTTAGCAGACAAGGTATTATAAGCTTTATAAATTATCATTTTTCTCATAAAATTGTAAAACTTATTACTACAGGAAGCCCCAAAACGTAATTATACTAATAAAACTATTAAAAGATTATGATAGCAAATATTTAAAACTTTTATACGAATTTTCTTTTGCATCATTTTCTTCCATTTACATATCTTATCAAGCTATATAAAGACGAAAAGAGAAGCTGTTGCTTTTATTTGTTTCTGACATGAAATTAAAAATGTCTGTACAAATTTTTCTTTTTGCCATTTCTACACTTCTTGTGAAAGAAATTAGTGGCCATGGCATGTTGTTAGAACCACCGAATAGAAGTTCGATATGGAGATTCGACCAAACAGCTACACCGAATTACCAGGATAACCAGAATTTCTGTGGAGGAGCATACGTAAGATTTCAGCTTACTAAATACATGATTCTTATTTTGCTAATAGGTTCAATGGGACCTCAATGGTGGTCTTTGTGGTCTCTGTGGTGACTCGTATTCAGACCCTCACCCCCAGGCCAACGAAAATACTGGAACTTTTGGTCAAGGCAGAATCGTTCGAACGTACCAAGCTGGAAGTACTATCGATGTCGAAGTACTTCTTACCAAAAACCATTTAGGAAGTTTCACCTTCAGGTTGGTTTGTATGTTTATTACATTGAATTTTGTTAATATGCATTTTAAAAACAGTTTGTGTGCACTTCAAAACATAAATGCTCCAGAAAGTGGAGAAGATTGTTTTGAAGTGTTGCCGCTGATCGATGGTTCCGCTCAGTACACAGTGGGTCCTAGTGATACCGATGTCAAATTGTCTCTTCAGCTGCCACAGGGAAAAACATGCGATCAGTGTGTTTTGAGATGGCATTACCGCACAGGTATGTATCATTAACCCATGGTTGAGAATAAGTAGAAAGATATTTTTTGTAGGGAATAACTGGGGAGATTGTGGAGATGGTACATGGGCGAAAGGATGCGGAGCTCAGGAAACATTCCGTAATTGCGCTGATGTAGCGATAGTCTAAGAACATTAACCTGATTTTGTAAAGTGCAAATTGTAACACAAACTGAGTAGTAACAGAATTGTGTTTTGTAATAAATTGTATACATTTATTTTGAGTTATTTATGTGTAAGCTTTATCAAAAAAAAAGGTCATCTCACTAAACCTGGACTTTATATTTATTTTATTTTTTCGAAAATTCAATTTTTTTAAAAGTGGAAAAGTATGATTTTCAATTTTACTTGATTATTATAGACAGAAAAAAACACGGAGGCATAACATATTTTTTTTAATGGACCACCTTATAATACATTTCCACACTCTCTGACCGACTTCAAGGTTTACAAAAAATCGCATTAAGGTTATTTCTGAGATCTGTGTAGGAATATTTTATGAATATATAAATAATAATAATATGTGCTTAGTTGTGGTACCAATAAAAAATTAAGCCGAAATAAACGTTGGATCTTACCCATTATTTTTTTTAGCGTCTGTTCAATTTTCCTTTCACTTTTTTTTTTTTAACACTGAAATATTGACGAGAACAGAATGAAGTCTGTATCATAAAATTCAACTTTATTTATACGACAACAAGGCGCATATCTTTACTTAGTACTCCGTAAATTATTGCAATACAAATGTTAAAATATCTTCAATATTCAAAATATTATGAAATTATACTTGTGGTTTATCAATCCGTTCATATTTTGTAGAATTAGTTAGACATGCTGACTCGAAAAAATGGATGAATGAGGCAATTTTTTGCGTTGATCAAGTCAAGAATGGATTAACCCATTTTCCTGAAAATTGGAGCGTACAGTACTGTTATTATTAGTATTACATTGCATCTATTCAAAATGATATATGTGGCTTTGTTAAAATGTTGATGACGTCATCACAATATTTTGCAATGGGAAAACTCATTTGAAAGGTATGCATAGCCATGTTTCCTTATCTGTACATTAACAGTCCATACATATCTTTACTTTATCATAAATATAGGGATTATCATAAAAAAATAAACATTTCAAAATTTTATTCTATAATTTTTCTAAGAATCTGTGTTTGTTCGGCTGTTTTTCAGGGGCGAGGAAAGTTCTGTCTAAATAAATTTAAACCAATTTTTGAAGGGTATTGTCTACAGACTTAAGGTAGTAATCTAGTAAATATCTCAGTCTAAGTGTACTTTGTTTGAAAAAGTTTTATTTGGAGGGTTGTGATGTCCATATTAAAAAAAAATGTTGCTATACTTAGTAGATAATGAAGAAAAAAAAACTATATATTTTTTAATTCAGTATTATTATAATTTAGGCTGTACTCTATTCTGACGTCTGTCTCTGTTATTTTGACTGAAATTCTAATTAAAAATTTTTATAGTGTGTTACTATTCTAGTCCATTCTAGTTTCTTTGATTAGAGTATTTAATTAATACATTTTTTTCTGTTGCTAGTAAAAAGAAGCATTGTGTAACGTACGCAGTGAAAGCTATTTACTTTTGTACTCGTTTGTCAAATTTTCTGTAAAACGCAAAAAATTGTTTATGATTTTATCGTACAATACGCAAAGATAAGTTAAGCGTTAAATAAAAGAAATAATAAAAAGATAAAAATGACGCAGTTGGTGTTTTAAAGTTTTGTGAAGATTTTTTAGCAAGTAGCGGTTACATTTTCAATATTTATAGTCCTAATTTATAGAGTCGCGACCTTAGAAAACTGGATCACTAGGTTTGATACACACTTTCAAATTTTAAAAAAATTAGTGTTTAATTAATACTTTGTTTGACAAATTAAATAATTTTGAGAATTGTTCACTGTTCTGTTTTTCAAGTCAGGAGCGTGCACTCAAATTGCTATTATGATATTTAAAAAAATTGGTCGACGGTTATTTCGACGGAACTTGCGTCGCTCCTGAAGTACAATAGAGCAAATCCAAAAATTATAAGATTTGATTTATTTGATTTTTTTATGATAACCCGTATAAATCAAAATAAAGATATGTATGTTAGAGTCAAGGAAAAGAAATATGCTACCCGTTTGTTTCAGGTGAGTTTATACGTTGCAAAATTTTGTGATGACGTCATCAACATTTTTGCAAGGACACGTACCTATATATCAATGTGGATAGATGCAGTGTAGTACTAATAATAACAGTAGCGTATTCCCAAATTTTTGAGAAAATGGAGTAGGTCATTCTTGATTTAATTAATAAAATAAATTGCCTAATCAATTCATCAATTCATTAATTCATTAATTTTTATGTGTCACCCTATAGGAGTCATTTTGAAAACTATGAGTGTATTGATAAACCACCAGTATAGCGTCATACTATTTTGCAAATTTCAGAAAGGATTTATTACATAATAACATAGACCTACACATGTAGTTATGACTCCGAATTGAGTTTTTACCCGAAACGTCCAGATTTTTAGAAAAAAATTCAAAACTATGACATCATTTTGCAATTTAATTTTGAATCTGCAAAACCGAATGCTTTGAAAACTTAGAGATGTTTTAAAGTTATCATAGGAATGGTAAATTTTTAGTCAACATGTATTTGCTCATCCCCCCTAAAAAATTGACGACGTCACCTCAAAATTTGGCTGAATAAATTCTATCCAAAATGTGCAAATTATGATGAGTTTATTGTGATTTATCACTGTATTAAAAGGTTACGAACTGCTTATAAAAACTCATAAAAATTAATTAATGGGCCAATTTATATATTTTATTGATTAAATCAGGAACGGCTCACTCCATTTTCCCTAAAATTTGGGAATACAATAATGCTATCATTAGCATCACACTGCACCTATCCTTGTCTTTGCAAAGATGTTGATGATATCATTATAAAATTTGGTATAAGGAAAACTCATTTGAAAATTTACTTTAATATTACGGACGTATATCTTTATTTTAACTTGTAGGGGTTCTCATAAAAAAATTAAAATTGCAATATCAAATTTTATAATTTTTCTAAAAAGTTGGATATGTTTTATTTTAATCTTGTGTTCAATTGAAAAATCACTCAGAGTAGGCGTTGAAATTTCGTTTGCAATAACTGGCATGTCTATTCTTATGCCATCGAGCTGGCAGAAACATTGCCGTACACTTTAAATCAGTTTCTGTCACATATTCTTGACCATTGCAGTTGTTTGTTTTAAAATGTTAAGTTATACACACAGTTTCTGTCTACCATACTAATGGCTGGATATGTGACAGAAACTGGTTGTTTTAAAATGTAGGGTTACGTTTCTGCCAAATGCATGTTATAAGAGTAGACATGCCTTTTGTGTTAAATGAAATTGCAACGCCTATTCCGAGTGATTTTTCAATCAAATAGGTACCTGTTATTTCAGGGGCGAGGGAAGTTCTGTCGAAATAATCTTCAACCAGTTTTTTTGAACTTTGAGGTTAGAAATTAATTTTGTGTGATATTTAAATAATATTACTATTATTTTACTACTATCGCATATTCACTGTTTAGTTTTGATGTTTTTTGAAGGAGGTCAGATTTGTAGCCAAAAACATGATAATTTTAATAATAATGAAAAAACTTTCAGAGTTTAAATAATATATTCTTAGTCACTGCTACACGTGTTTCGGTACACAGTACCGTCTTCAGGCAGAAGATAAACTGGGGTTTTACAGAGCTATTCCTGAATTTATATCTGATTTAACAATAGTGTTTACAAATTTATGTTAAGTAAGGGAGATTTGTTTATTTCGGTTTGGTCGTTCATTAGTGTATTAAATCTATTGTACCTATTTATTTCCAGACATTCTAACGCGTTTAATTTTGCGCCTTTATTTTCTATGTGTAAAATTTTGAATTCGTCGTTGAAATTATGCTGTTCTTGGATAAGGTGGTTCGCGTACGTAGAATTTGATTTTTTATTGACATATGCTGATTTATGTTCTTTTATCCTTTCCTCAAATTTTCTCCCTGTTTCTCCGATGTATACTAAGGGGCAGTCACTACAACTTAGCATGTAAACTCCAGAATTCGATTTCTTAGGTGACTACTCTTTACTATTGTTTATTAATTTATGTAAAGAATTGTTGGTACGGAAGGAAATTTTATAGCCTGCATTTTGCAGTATTTTTGCAGTTTTAATAGAAAGTTTTCCAAAATGAGTTATAATGTTATACTGATTGGTTTCTTTAATTAAAGGATATATTAATGCTGATGTGATTTTTTTAATTTTCTTTTTTAACATATTATCTATGATCTCGTCTGAATAACCATTGTTTTTAGCTATATGCAGGCTATAAAATTTCCTTCCGTACCAACAATTCTTTACATAAATTAATAAACAATAGTAAAGACAAGTCACCTAAGAAATCGAATTCTGGAGTTTACATGCTAAGTTGTAGTGACTGCCCCTTAGTATACATCGGACAAACAGGGAGAAAATTTGAGGAAAGGATAAAAGAACATAAATCAGCATATGTCAATAAAAAATCAAATTCTACGTACGCGAACCACCTTATCCAAGGACAGCATAATTTCAACGACGAATTCAAAATTTTACCTACACATAGAAAATAAAGGCGCAAAATTAAACGCGTTAGAATGTCTGGAAATAAATAGGTACAATAGATTTAATATACTAGTGAACGACCAAACCAAAATAAACAAATCTCCCTTACTTAACATAAATTTGTAAACACTAGTGTTAAATCAGGTATAAATTCAGGAATAGCTCTGTAAAACCCCAGTTTATCTTCTGCCTGAAGACGGTATTGTGTACCGAAACACTTGTAGCAGTGACTACGAATATATTATTTAAACTCTGAAAGTTTTTTCATTGTTATTAAAATTAATATGGAGTTTAAACACGTATCAGCCTCATCAATACAAAAAAAACATGATAGTTTTGCGTTTCACCCTATAGGAGTCATTTTGAAAACTATGAGTGTATTGATAAACCACCAGTATAGCGTCATACTATTTTGCAAATTTCAGAAAGGATTTATTACATAATAACATAGACCTACACATGTAGTTATGACAATATTTCGCAAAATAAATCCTATTTTTTTAGTAAATGATATATAAAGGTATTAGTATCATACCGTTTATAGACATTCTAGCTAGGAAATCGCCAATAAAAACCAAATAAAATACTATTCGAATCGTTGGAAAAAATATTTGAGTGCTCCGTTAATTCTGACAAACAAACAATAACTTGAAATGTCAATCATTGTTGAGTGAAATGTTTGATATCTTTTGATAGTTACAATTAGTGAAGTTTTTTTCGAACTGATGAATCTACTGAACCCGCCAGGTACCGCAAATTTAGTATTGTTTCGATGTTATCGATGATTTATTAAGCAGCAGTTTCTGGTACATCAGCTAGATTTAATTTTAATAATCAAATCCGAACCACCACTTAGTTTCAAACTTGAATTCTTAGAATATAAAATGAAAAACTTTACTTCACATGTGTGAAAAAAATACAGGATATCAAAGTACAAATTTAATCTATTAAAACTATGTTACTAATAGTCACAAAAAGTCTAGAGTTTGTTTTTATTTCTTTCTTATCAGTGTGTCTAGTTGTTGTTTACATAACTTACTAGCCAAAACTACTTCACTATTGACATCACTATTATAAAAAGATCTGAAAGTCACGAATCTAATCCCATTTAATTAAAACCACACACTTGAATCTTTCTCTTTTTGATAAAATCTTTGAGACTGACGTTCCAATGTTAGGTCCTTAGTCTCCCTTAATCTTATCAATTTTTCAAGTATCCCTACAAATATAAAAGCGAGGGAAAGACAATAGTTTTTATTCCAAGTCAGCTCTTCCACGGAACAACCTCCTAACACACAAGATGTACAAACTGCTAGTAATATCAATCTTTGCCCTCTACGTCCAACATGTTTTGGGCCACGGTATGATGTTGGAACCACCAAATCGAAGTTCTTTGTGGCGATATTATAACAACACTCCTATAAACTACAACGACAACCAAAATTTCTGCGGAGGCAGAGCAGTAAGTTTTCAGTTTTTGCTTCTAGAAGAAATATTGACCATGTTTTGTCTAGATCCAGTGGGACGTGCTTGATGGTAAATGCGGTGTCTGTGGCGACAGGTACGACGACCCACATCCTCAAGCCAATGAAAACACGGGCCAATATGGTCGGGGCCTTGTAGTCCGAACCTATGAATCTGGTAGCCTTATTAACATCACCATAGAACTCACCAGCAATCACAAAGGGTATTTTAACTACAGGTATGTTGACGGAATTTTGTTGAAAACGAAATTGAGGGATATTTTTTAGCATATGTGTTTTGAATGATCCCAATGAGCCTGAACCAGGTGAAGATTGCTTCCATGGTCTTATTCTTGGTGATGGTAGAAAGCAGTACGACGTTGCAGCTGTAGAAGAGAAAATTGAACACACTCTTCTTCTTCCGTATGGTCTGAAATGTGAAAGATGCGTTTTGCGCTGGCATTACACCGCTGGTAACTCGTGGGGACAGTGCGAAGATGGGACTTCTGCGGATGGGTGTGGGCCTCAGGAGACGTTCCGATCGTGTGCTGATATAGCTATTGTATAACATGACCGAACTATTTAATATGGAGAATATTTTTGTTGTAAAAAATAGGGGTGTTTTATACTTTAATAAAGTAGTTTTTGTATTTTTTTGTTGTCTTCTTCGTTATCAATTATCATGAACAAACTATTTCGTAATAGTATATTACCTACCGAGGCGGGAAGTGTTTCATTACCGTCGAACACCAGATTAGCGTCGAGGTCAACAGCAGGCGTGAGACGGGAATGAAACACGTCCACCGAGTGTATGTATACTATTTTATTCACAATCATTATAAATAAAAATAAATGGAAATAAAAATTCACTTCACTCATTTTATAATTATAATACCAGGCGTTCCATGTCAAACTTGACATTATAATTTGTCGAGTTTTTGTTTCAATTATTTGGGGCAAATACGTTAAATAAAATGTCTTCAGACTTGTTATGGGCACCTGTAGTTTTATTTAGGTTGTTTTCCAACCATACGCTGGGGTAGAAGTGGGTGTTTATCTAAAGAACAATTTATTTGAAAATTAAACAATACTACAGAAATCAAGCCTTCACTGGTGTGGAGGTTCGCAAAAAATTTGCCGACCTCCAACGAGGTTCGCAGATGACAAACAATTGCTCACTTTCAAACTTCAAAAAAGTTGACAAATGACATATTACATACCGATTGTGAATAAATGATATTAATGGTTTGAAATCGGTTTTCCTGATTTTAATCTTGGAAATGTGATTTAAGAATGAATTACTTTCAAGTAATTAACTACATCTGTTTTTGTTTAATTTTTAAATGCTACATATATTTTATCTTGAAATCTGAAGAGTATTAACATTGTCGTCCTTGAAAAATTCTAAAAGATCTCTTCAAAATACAGAAGAGATTTTTCCCGTCCTATCAATAGTTACTAGGCTAATGGTAAGTTGATGTTCGAAGATTAGTCATTCAAAAGAGCTGAAAAAGTTTCGCGAACTAATTAGACGGAGCGTGTATACTAAGATCACTTTAAAAGTATACAGATAATATTTTACAACTTTAGTCAAAGAACCCAAGCCGCAAAACTCTAAACCCATAAATTATGCAGGTAGGACCGCCAAAGATCGTCTGCTTGGGGCAGCACAAAAAATTATGTAGGCACGCGACAGGGTTTACAAGCTTACAAGGATCTTACGACGAAAAGCCGACTCGGCATTATTAACCAAATAATCCTAATTATGTCATTAAATTTTATTAGTATGCTTTTAAAGTGATCTTAGTATACAACTACATTTTAGCAATAATTTAGTAATGCATTTATTGTTGAATTATTACAAACTGTTTAGGCATAGAAATGATTTATAGCCATAGTCAAATATACCAAATCCCCCCTCCAAATGTTTTATTTTAAAAACTGGGGATAATAATTTATGTTCAAATAAGCAATAAATTGCATCGTCATTTTTTGTTTTGAAGTTTTTGGTACTCAAATCTAGAGATACTAGCGTTTTTTCCGTCTAGATGGAATTCTTAGATTAATTTAAAGTCGAAACTTAACATGCAATTTCAATTTCATTACTGTCACCTCTGGAGCACATGACAATGTAGTGGAATTTGATAATTCCTTTATAATTCAAACCTTGCGATTACATTGAAGTGATAAATTTTGATTAAATCAGTTCTTAGTAAAAATAATGATGAAAAAACGCGATTTTAATTAATTGCTAAGTTTAGTAAAATGTGTACGAATAGGTACCTAGACAAAGTGAGCAATTCTGAAAAAATATTGTTTCACACAAAGACAACCAGTCTAGATTTAACTTTTCGAGAAATGTGTTTTCAAGAAGAACTGATAAACCAACCACTCGTGTTGATGAGAGATTGATGCGATGATTTCATATCTGTCAAGTGTCACAAGATTTAATTAAATATTAATGACGTTTATCGACTTGATTGTGAGATTAAAGTTCAGATTAAGTTGTTGCTAACCGCTAATAATAAATTCTTACGTGTTATAATATGTACATGGTAAACACAAACGACAAATTTAGTGAACAAAAATAATAATAATAATAATAACAGAAATAATTAAATTACTGTCGAACTCCGAAACTAATAAAAATACCTTAGCAGTGATAAAAAGGTCATTAAAAGTTAATTGGTGGCTAATTGACACTAGATTTTAAAGAAAGTGATAAACGCACTTTATTAAAAAGTGCATTGTAAGTAGCAGTTTATCACAGCATCGTTTGACTTGCTTTGACAGTTATAACAATGCAGAATGCTTGATAGAACAATTGTTGTTCTGAGATAATTCAATTGCTCATTAACTGCTAATGCAGTTTTAATTAGTAATTCACAGAGAGCGAAATCGAGAGTTTGAAATTGTTTGCACTGGTTGGCGAGCCAGCACAGTAGTGAACATAACTTGCACGATATCGTTTCGATATCTACTTGGCTGTTTGGACGCAGTGACTTGCTCGTTTTACGCACGTTTTTACTTACATTTTGTGTATTGAAAAATTCGCTAAAAGCATGCTTATATATATAAGATCTCAGAAAGTGGCGCACCAACTCTACGACACCTTGTTCAGGGCTGTCTATAGAGCACACAAAGATAATTTAAAAAATCCATGTGCTCACATGTACATAGAAGACAAAGTTCTTCAAAGTTTTTTTTCGATACTTAATAATAATAATAATAAGTTTATTTGTCTCACAGAAAAAAGTTCCAATTATAGGATAAAAGTACATAAATAAATAAATAAATATACATTCTAATACTAGTTCTAATACAGATGACAAGTTATAGTAAAATGAAGTTAGAATTCTATGAAGCAATAAACGGCATTAAGAAGCAATAAATAACCAAAGACATATATGTATATGCATGTGCCTTTCAATAACCTAATCACTCTTACCAGACAATCATAACTAACTAACAGTAATTGACCCTTTTCCTGTAAGCAAAGTGAGTAGACATTATATAAATTCCAATGATACAGAGTGAGACAACATCGCGCAGGCGAAGTCAGATTTTTAGAGCGCCAAGTTAAAATTAACCAATGAGCGACCGATTACGCATGTGTAGCCGGTTGCATTCTGTCAAAGCGGTTTGTTGTCACAGGCCTTTGCTCTGCTGCCGAAGTGCCGGATACTATTTCCAACGTGGTGTTGAAGATGCGTGCGCACGGAAAGTCACTATGGAAGTTTTACGATCTTACAGGAAAAGGGTCAATACTCACTCTAAATAATAAAATCGCTCACTAATACAAAGTTTAAACTGATTTAGTCTACAAAAAAATAAATCACAATCGCATTACATTTCCAAAATACTTAAATAAAAATGTATTACATATAGGAGCGCTTTCTTTCCTACCTATGTTCGTGCGAGGAGACTTACTAAGTATATAAAGAAGTAGAGTATCTGTTATTTATTTTAGGTACATGAAAATTGACAAGAGTAAGAATGTCACTATTATCAATTATGTTATGTATAATTTTGTAAATAAATATTAGTGCATTAGCCACACGTCTGGAATGTAGGGTACTAAATTTGTATCTTTTCAATAACTCAAAATGAGAATAGTTTCTGTAAGGCCATCTTCTTTCTTCTTTAAAATACAAAAATTTTAAAAATATCTGCTGTACATTTTCAATTTGATGTATCTGATTATACCATGCCAGGGAGCAATACTCTAAGGTAGATCTCACAAGCGCGTTATAGAGTACCGTTAAAGTAGAAATGTTATTAAAATCATTGCAGTTCCTAAGCATAAATCCCAAAATTTTCCCCGCACTCAACACAATATTATTCACATGTTCTCTAAAACTATACTAGAAATCATAGCACACACCAAGATCCTTTACAGATCGTGGTCTTTCAAGAGGATATTTGTCAACATAGTAAACATATTGGCAGAGATTTTGACATAAAGAGTACGTAACCACTTTACATTTTTTATGGTTTTATAGTAAACCATTTGCTATACACCATTGTTGGATATTCTTCAGCTCCATCTGCAATAAGAAGCAATCGTCCGAATTTTGTATTTTTTTAAAGATCTTAATGTCATCCGCGTACATTAGAATATGCGAGTTATAAACAGCAAGGGCCCCATTACAGACCCTTGTGGTGGTACACCCGACGTAGAAATATAAGAGAGATATAAAGCCATTACCCATTACACATAATCAAATTTAGACGAGAAGACAAGTAAGAAGCAATTAATTTAATTAATAATTCCGAGAAACCGATGGATGATAACTTAAAGAGTAATAATTGATGGTTAATTGTATCAAAAGCTTTATTTAGGTCAGTGTATATAACATCAAGCTGACCCCTATTGTCTAAAGTATTAGCAATAAATTGGGACATGGACGTCAGATTAATTGAAGTCGATCTACCTGAAACAAAGCCATGTTGACTATTCGAAATACACCCTCTAATACTAAAAATACAAAATGGTTTCAAAAATCTTAGAAATATTGCATAAAATAGATATCGGTCGATAGTTTCTCACATCGTACCAACAATAATGGAAAAATATGAATGCGTTGTAAAGCATATGGATAAACTACAGTGTAATAATAACAATTATCTATTCTGTTATTGTATTCTCACATTGTGAAATTGGGATGTGCTGTTTCTGATTTGAAAGGAAAAACTAGTTCGGGATAGCCTGGTTCCCGCATGAACGGTTGCGGGAATGCGGGAAGCAGGTTTCACGAACGTGTCGTGTACAATATTTTTTGCAACGAATAAACTTTTAAACCGAAAAGATTAACTGTGAGTTATTTATAAACAACGACGTTGACGGCGCCGTAAACACTTAGCAATTTTAGGTTTCCGGACTGTTTTAAGGTTACCATGGCAACGGAAAGCAAAAAGGACGTGTGCGGCAAATTCGAGCTCCCGTATCCTGGTGAATGCGTGAAAGTCATCCAAACAGGTCATGACTGCAAAGAATATATTTACAACACATTATCAACGGGAGTAAAGCCACCTGAGCTATATGCATAGTACTAAAAATGATAATGTTTATACAACGGAAGAATGTCACTTAGACATTTGTTTGATTTGAATGAGTTTATCGCCTCAAAACAAATGACTATTCTGAATGTTA